AGAAGAAAAAGAGAGCGGATTGATAAAGTGCTCATGTTGGAAAACAATAAAAAATAAAAAGGTAAAAAATGAGGTGAACGAGGGTCAACGAAGCAAACACCACACAGTCATAGGGAAGTTCGTCGAGTTCACTTCCCAGTCGAGTCGCAGGATCGATAGGCGAAAAAAAAAAACCCGAAAGAACAAAGGAAAGACTGGAGAAAATTTTGATCGTATGACCCTTGAAGTGGGAAGTATAAACCGTAAAATGGCAGCTTGACGGCTATGGGAAGAAAGCGTGCTCACCCAGTGTTTTTCGTTTCTCTGCCTCTCTCTCTCTCTCTTTTTTTTCAGTGGGCAGCGCTGGAAGGCGTGGCTTAACAAAGTTTTTCTCGCAGGGCCATTGCCGCTTAAGCAAATGCGTAGTAATTAGAGTAAGCTGAGCGAACAGAAACACGGATCAAGTATCTAGAGGATCGCGGAGAAAGTGTCCGTGAAGCCGCTTCCTTTGGGTCTAGACCAAGTATTTACGACGCTGTAGATTCAGGATACTTCAGAAAAGAGAGCCGTTAAGGTGGAAGATCATTAAACCAAAGGATGTTTTGTCCGGTGGGTATGGGTGCGCAGGTAGATAGGATACCCTCGTTAAGATGAAATTGATGAGGGGTGATTCAGGATACTTCAGAAAAGAGAGCCGTTCAGGTGGAAGATCATTGAACCAGAGGATGTTTTGTCCGGTGGGTATGGGTGTGCAGGTAGATGGGATACCCTCGTTATGATGAAATTAACCCTTTAAATTACGCTTTTATGACGGAAATTTAAGTAGTGGTGTCGCACAACACACACACACACGCACACACACACACGCACACACACACACGTACACACACACACACACGCACGCACACACAATAATTGGTGCTGACCAACTTCCAGAAATTCGGCCCTCATAGGTGTGTATTTGTATGCACTGTTTTCTTATAATGGATGGTCTCTCGGCTGTTGCCTTGTGCAGGACCAGATCCAGACGTTTCTGATGTAGCAGTTCGATCTTGGAAGAAGGGTGGGGGGGGGGGGGCACTTGCCATTTCACATATCCGCGTTTCGCTGTTGCCTTGATATGAAGCCATATCATAACCATTTGCCGGCAGCAGTTGAAGTGTTGCGCTTTTATGCTCCGGAATGACGGTAAGATTCCCGGTTTAGAGGAAGATAACAGTTAGTAAAGAAGATTGCGAAAAGCGCCAATACCGGCATGCACGCATACTCACTTCACTTAGTCATCCTCACTCACTCACACACTCATGTCACTCACCCACCATCACTCATTCCACTTACTCGCACCCACTCACTTATTCACACTCATCACACTCGCTATCACTCACTCCACTCACTCCACTTAATCACTACTTCATTCACACACGCCAACACTCACTCGACTCACTCACAATCACTCTCATCCATTTTACTCACTAGCTCGCCCGCTCACTCACGCTCACTCCACTCACTCACACTTGCCCGCTCACTCACGCTCACTCCACTCACCCACACTTACTCACTCTCACACTCATTTACTCTCATTTCACCTTGCTATTTGAGTGCACTGTACGCGTTTGTACATTTCTTCTTGCACCGGACAGTTCATCCGATAAACAGTACATTTTTTAAATTTGTGTGGATCTGTCAAGCTATAGGCCACATACCTGTGCTTTGTAGCTCTTGATTTACAGCTGATGAATACGCCATCTCTCCGCGCTTTTTGGCGATGAACGATGTAATAAGGCTCGAGCTGCACAATCTTACACACTGTCTTTCCACGGGTTAAAGTTTCTACGTTGGAAAACGAGGTCTGTCAGGTTGGGAGCGGGGCATTTGGGATAGGAGTAAAAAAGGAAGAAAGGAAGAGGGGTGTGTTGCACCGAGGCCAGTGCGTGTAATGAACAGTTACATACCCCACCCCCCCACCCCCCCTACACCGACATGGGCCCGTGACGAAACGTGTGCGTACGCATCATTTCGCCACGCTACAGTTCGTGTGTGTGTCGTTGATTTCGCTCATTTCCTCCGGCTAATGCGTCGCGTCACGTTCGTCGGAGGCCAATCCATTAGCGCGACGCGAGAATGCTTGTTCCTGCTGCTGGGTACACCAGGCAGCACTTTCAACTTCGCGAGCTCCTCGCGCAGTGTTCTGCGTCGCTGGCGCCTCCTAGGGAGGTGGAAATGTCACTACAGAATGGAGAGAGAGAGAAACTACTCATGGCTTTACTACATGGTAAGGTACGAGCCCGAGAGATAAAAGGAAAAAAAAATGTATGCGTAGAAAAGTGTAGAACGGATACCTGCGCGCTCGGCCAAAGTTGCTCTTCAAAATGCGCTGCGTACGTATCAAGCATCGTGAAGCCATGCCTGTTTCGCCAGCTTGTCCCGACATGTCAGCCCATGTTTCGTAACGCCTGGATTTTTGAACTGCGTGCGCCGTTATTTACGAGCGAATCGTCAGAGCGCTTCGTTGAGTGTATTATGTGCGTCCGTTTAGCAGAATGTAACCTATAGGGAGAGCTCATATGCATTGCTTAACGAAGTCTTCGCGGTGCTACTCAGACCGAGAAAGAAAAACGAGAGACGACAGCAAGCATACAGAGTAGCCGGCCGCGGATTTTGATGGCAGTTAAAGTGATCGACTGTTGACTCGAAGGTCGCGGAATCTAATCCCGGCCGCGGAGTTTCCTCGCAGGCAAAACGCTAGATGCCTGTGTGCTTAGTCTTCGGTTCACGTTGGTCTAAGTCCTCTGGAGCCCCCCCACTCTCGTAATCATGTCGTTGCTTCGGGACGTGATGAACCTGCAGTGATTATTATTACGAAAACGATACTTAAATGTCAAAGCTTAAGTTCTTTGCACAGCACAGAGGTAGTTCATAATCGAGGGAGCTAATCCCGGGAGACTGACAGATGACGTAACAAAATTGTGCTCCGTCCCCTCAGCTTTCGTAAAAAATGTACATATATAAATGTATATGGGGTGGGGACGAGACATGGGGATTAAATTGAAGCCAGGAAACTTATTTTCTCCTGTCTGCTGTACCCTGATTATGTACGCAGGCTGGATGGCGTAAGAAGCGAACTACGACCTTTCCTGCTGGGCGCCTCTTTTAATTTATTTTTTTGTCGTACAGCTGGCTTGCTTTTTAAACTTTGTTCTTGCGTCATTCAAGTGCCGGCCAATTTTAGCGAACTGGTGGATATGTAACCAGTGTCAGAAACGCAATGGCTGCTCGTGGACGCGGGTGCGCCTCCCTGCCTCGGCGGCCGCATTCACTCTGGGAGCAGCGAATGAGAACACTTGCATACAAGACATCGAAGGTTTACGTTAAATGAAACCTAGATTGTCGAAATCATCCCGAAATCACTAAATGTTTTGTTGAAGGGCGAAAAAGTGTTGCAGGTACCCTTCGATGCGACTATCTGAGGCAAGGAAAATTCTGATTAGCAATCAGTGGTGCCGCCCTAAACAATTGTTTTTGAAAGTCAGTCTTTCTAGGGATACTTGAACGCAGAAATTTTGGTCCGTCTGCCTATCATATCGCAGTTTGGACATGTACAACCCTATCTATCTATCTATCTATCTATCTATCTATCTATCTATCTATCTATCTATCTATCTATCTATCTATCTATCTATCTATCTATAGCGGACCACCTTTCCTTCCTTTCCCGCGGCGGCAATTGTTGACAAAGCGGCGGACCCACGCAGTTAAGCGCACGACTCTGCTGCATGAGCTGAACTCCTCTACTTTCAGCACTGCCTCGAACGGCGATGATATTACGGGCAATCACCGTCACTTTTCGCTCTTCCAGGTGACATTCTACTGCCCCTGGGCTCTGCTCACCGGTCGTTGGCCAATGCGTCTTATCCTTGTGAAGCCAGTGTGGTCCTCTCCACCACAATTCGCTTTCTAACAAGGCTGATGGGAGGATACCGCGAGTGATTAGGTCAGCGGGGTTGTCTAGTCCTGGGCAGTGCCTCCAATCCTCGGATCAGTCAGCGCCTGAACCTCTGATACTCGGTTTGCCACGAAGGGCTTCCATCTGGCAGCGTTTCCTTTAATCCAGTGCATAGCCCTGTGGAATCGGTCCAAAGGATGGCAGCAGCATTCTGGAGGTTCAAGGCCTTGCAACGTAGTGGCACAGTCGAGCACCAATGAGGGCCCCCATCAGCTCTAGTCGGGGTAACGAGAGGCGCTTCAAAGGGGCAACTCTTGATTTGGCCATAATTAGGCTTATATTGATTATTCCTTGAGCAGACTTGCATGCAACGTATCCGACAGCACCGTAGGCCTTTGGGCTGGCATCGCAGAAAATGTGCAACACCTTCTCTGTCTTTTCATCTCGGAAATCCCTTGCGATGATCCTCGGAATGGACACCGCCTTGATGCATTGAAGCTCTTCACACCAGCACTTCCACTCCGCTTGCATCAATTCTGGCAAGGGGGTCGTCCCAACCCGCTCCCAACTCCCACAACCTTTGGAACATTGTCTTTACGTACAGTGTTGTAGGAGCGATAAACCCAAAGGGGTCGAAAATTCTGGCTGAGACTTGCAATACGAATCTCTTGCTGTCGGCTCTGGTGGTGAGGAATTCAAGAAGTGAGGTCAGATTGTACTCGAAGTTATCTGTATGAGCATTCCAACCTACTCCCAATACCTTGGTGGCTGCAGGAAGTTCGGCATTTGCAATTCCTCTTCGCCACGTTCCCATCCTCTATGAAGTTGACTAAATCGTGGTCGTTAGACATCCAATTGTGGAGCCGCATTCCTGCTTGAGATAATATATCGCTTGATTCCTGGCATAGCACTTTACCCTGTTCGAGGGTGTCGACCCCTGTCACAAGGTCGTCAACATAGAGATGGCTGCGCAGGATGTTCGCAGTCTCAGCATACTGCTCTGGGAGTCCTTCAAGATGGTGTCGTAATGTTGCGGCTAATAGGAATGGGCTGGATGTAACACCGAACGGAACGCGCGTCATCCGGTAGGCCGCCACCGCTGGAAGTTCTTCACCTTTCTTCGGAGTGGCAGCATACCAGAGAAACCGCACAGCGTTCCGGTCACCCTCTGACAGAGATATTTGAAGGAATGCCTTTTCATATCCGCGACGATGCCGATGTTGTAAGTGCGGAAGTTGATCAACAAATCAATGAGCTCTGGATTAAGTTTTGGACCACTTTCCAAAACATCATTCAGTGAGAGGCGATCTTTGGCACTTGATGATGCGTCGAACACCACCCTCACTTTTGTTGTCAGGCTTTCTTGTCGAACAACTGCTTGATGTGGCATGTAATACACCGGACCTTCCGAAGCGCTGCAATGCTTGTTGGCTGGCTCTGCATAGCCCTTTTCGATGTATTCTCGGATGCAGGCGTCATATTCCACGATCAAGGAATCTCCCTTCAAAAGGCGCGTCGTGTTGGCTCTAAGACGCTTCGCGGCGCACTCGTAGTTGTCGTCGAGCTCATCAACCATAGGCTTCCAGGGGAAAGACACTGTGTACCGCCCATGCTCAAATTTGACGGTTTCTTTGTAGTGCTGTTGGATTGCGTCTTGGTGGCGAGCTGGTTCGTGTTCCTTGATACCAATGTGTTCGAGCTCCCAGAATGACCTCAACTGCGCTGATATTTCTTTGTTAGTTTGTTCGCTCACTGCTACTCGCATTACGCCAGCAACAGAGGGACAGACTCCTGGTGACCTTTTTGCGCCTACCTGGCCCTGGACTGTCCACCCAAATGCAGTTTCTACTGCCATCAGCTTGGAGGTTAGGCGCTTAGTGGATCCCGTGACAATTTCCCAATAATGATCAGCGCCGATCAGAAGATCAATGTTTTCACTTCCGTCACCCTGCGCGACGTCCGCGACTGGCAAGCCAAATTTCGAAAGTTCCAGAAGAACTGACTTTAAAGGCGCAGCCATTATATCTGCGCAGATGCAGGGAACTTCGAGGGCCTCCACTCGCGCCCTTTTCCCGTCGTACTGGCTTTGCAGCCACAGCTCGACCAGACGCGCTTTAGTGCGGGTTATAGCGGACTTGTCGCCGAAGGCATAGATTTTAAGTTCCTCTTCCCCAAGCACGTTCAACTGCAGTCTTTCAGACAACTTGCGATGGATGAACGTCCTTTGACTGCCACCATCTAGGAGAAGCCTGACAAGCGTACTTTTGTGCGGTCCCACTGTCCAAGCTCGTGCTGTTTGCAGAAGAAACTGATGCCCCTCCATGCACATAAATTTCTCCTCTGAGCCTAGAGAAGACTTTAGCACTGTGGCTTGTCCTGTCGCTGGTGGAGAGGATGCATTCTGTTCACCACTGCCACGGTATTCTCTGAAATCAGGATCACACATAGCCGTGAGGTGTTTTCCGCTACAGTTGGCACACCTGAGCCATTTGGCCTTACGGCACTCTCTTGACGTGTGCCCCTTTACTGTGCAGCGGAAACATCTATTCTCACGCTTCAGCATTTCTCTTTTATCAGCTGCCGACATCTCTGCATCGCAGTCACCGCTTTCGTGGCACCCTGACGAACAAAACAGACACCCTTTTCTCTCCTTGGTCATGGTATGCAGTGCAGCGGCTGAAGACATTCTCGCCGCTTTAAAGGTGCTGTTACGGTTTTCGACAGACGATTCTACACACATGCCCCTTGGTGTTTCGGCCCGCTGTATAATCTCCCGTGCCTCTACCTCGACTCTCAAAAAATGCGCAAATGCCTCCAGTTCACTGCCTCCTGTAGTAGCGCCCTTTCGTCGACAGTATTCGAGATGAAGGTCCGCAGGCACCGCCTTCTTTACTACTGTTAGGAGCAGAGCTCCGTACGTGCTGACACCGACGCCAAGAGAAGTGAGGCTCCGTACACCTCTCTCTACTTCGTCAACGAGGCTCCGAAGTTGGCTGAGGTTCCGCGAGTCACGCACTGACTTGATATTGAGCAGTCTGGACATGTGATCCTCGATTATGGCTTCTTTACGACCGAACCTTTCCTTTAACAGCGAGAGAGCAACTTCGTAGTTTCCGTCGGACAAATCAAGACCCGCAACGGCAGCCGCTGCTTTTCCTGTTAAGTAACTGTTCAGGTACTTGAACTTGTCCACGTTTGACAGGTGGTGGTTAGCGTTTATTGTCGTGTCGAACTGACTCCAAAAGCCTTGCCACTGTCGAAGCTCGCCGTTGAACTTTGCTATCTCTAGTTTGGCAGCTTTACTGTGGGGGTTACTTGCGGGATGTTACGGCTAGATTCTCTTTGATCTGAGGAACTTGAGGTGCGATCTAGCGAAGCGCTCACTGATGCGGCGTTAGTGCAGCTAAGCTCACGTAGCATGAGCTGTACTTTAGTCCTTGCTACGTTGATCTTTTCTTTGTAGTTCTCGGAGCATGCAATTTCCTCTTCTAATGCATCATCTTCTACGCCAATCTCAATTTCCCGATCTAGCTCTTTGAGTGAGTCTTCCTTAAGGGTGAGAAGGTTGATCTTTTCTTCAAGCTCACCGAGTGACGCGTCGTCCTCCATGGTAGCGATGTCATTGAGCAGCTTTGTTGTTGACGTTCGCACCACGGCCCTTTTGCGCTTCATCCTGTCGATGTCCATCTTTGGGTCCCTTATTCCCGGGTTTCGGCACCAACAAATGTTGTAGCGGAATAGCAGGGAGGCAGACTTTTTCTAGTGAGACGACGACAGAGAAAAAAACACGTCCTTTCAGTTTGAACGCATCACGAAGACTGCTTTATTCGTTCGCTATGTACCGCTGTCGTAGAGAGGGGAAGAAAAAAAGGAAAAGCAAACAGAGAAGCACAAGTATTGTCAAAGAGTTTCCTCCGCACCCCGCACGTGCGACGGTCTTCAAGGACAGATGGACAAAACGCTTTCCGCGTGTTCGAGAAGGGTCATTTTGGCCCTCACCCCCTTTTCCCTTCACGGCTGGGCTTGTAGGTAAAAACAGATGTCAAGGACGCCCTTCGCTCCTTTCGCATTGCCCGTCACGCGAACCACCCGAAAACGAGTCCCTCCGAGTTGCCCCTCCTCCCCCTCTTCGCCGCGGAGTCTTTCAATTAACGCTCCCCCGAAGCGGGGGCTGCTTCCCAGTATGCGACAAATACAACACATATGGTGGTTTTGGGACTTTAAACCCCACAAATCAATCAATCAATCAATCAATCAGTAATCAGAGTAAGCTGAGCGAACAGAAACACGGATCAAGTATCTAGAGGATCGCGGAGAAAGTGTTGGTGAAGCCGCTTCCTTTCGGTATATACGAAGTATTTCATTTCATTTCATTTCATTTATTTATACTGTTAGCCCAGAAGTGGGCCGTTACAGGGTGGAAGTACAAACAATTATTTGCAAAAAAGAAGTACCGTACAGGTCTCGAGATAATTTCTCGGTATTATTGTGACCAGCAACTCGAAGTTATACATAACATACATAAATGGAACACACATGCGATGCAATACATACGCGCAGAACAGCACATGACGCATTTGAGGCGGCACTTTTGCACCGCGCTGAAGATTTGAAAGACAACTACTGCAGGATCATGCAACCAACAGAAAGTACACACACACGCAAAAAAAAAACATATGTCACTGTTATTCGGAAAATAAACGTTTTAGATTCTGTTCAAATGATGTAAGCGAGGAACAACCAATTATAGACTCTGGCAGCATATTCCAATCTTCAATAGCACGTGGAAAGTAACTGAACTTAAAGCAATCGTTACGTGGGACTAGGGGTGGTATATACATATTATGGCGATTTACGACGCTGTAGATTCAGGATACTTCAGAAAAGAGAGCCGTTAAGGTGGAAGATCATTAAACGAAATGATGTTTTGTCCGGTGGGTATGGGTGCGCAGGTAGATGGGATACCCTCGTTAAGACGAAATTGATTTAAATGACGCTTTTATGACGCAAATTTAAGTAGTGGTGTCGCACAACACACACACACAAACACACACACACACACACGCGCGCGCGCGCGCACGCACGTACACACGCACGCACACATGCACGCACACACACAAATTGGCGCTGACCAACTTCCTGAAATTCGGCCCTCATCGGTGTGTATTTGTAGGCGCCGTTTTCTTATAATGGATGGTCTCTCAGCTGTTGCCTTGTGCAGGACCAGATCCAGACGTTTCTGATGTAGCAGTCCGATCTTGGAAGAAGGTGGGGGGGGGGGCACTTGCCATTCTGCATATACGCGTTTCGCTGTTGCCTTGATATGAAGCCATATCATGAGCATTTGCCGGCAGCAGTTGAAGTGTTGCGCTTTTAAGCACCGGAATGACGGTAAAACTCCCGGTTGAGAGGAAGATAACAGTTAGTAAAAAAAGATTGCGAAAAGCGCCAATACCGGCACGCACGCATACTCACTTCGCTCAGTCATCCTCACTTAGTCATCCTCACTCACTCACACACTCATCTCCCTCACCCACAATCACTCATTCCACTCACTCGCACCCACTCACTTATTCACACTCACTATCACTCACTCCACTCACTCCGCTTAATCACTCCTTCATTCACACACGCCAACACTCACTCTCACTCACTCACAATCACTCTCACCCATTCTACTCACTCACTCGCCCGCTCACTCACGCTCACTCCACTCACTCACACTTGCCCGCTCACTCACGCTCATTCCACTCACCCACACTCACTCACTCTCACACTCATTTACTCTCATTTTACCTCGCTATTTGAGTGCACTGTAGGCGTTTGTACATTTCTTCTTGCACCGGACAGTTCATCCGATAAACAGTACATTTTTTTTATTTTGTGTGGATCTGTTAAGCTATAGGCCACACACCTGTACTTTGTAGCTCTTGATTTATAGCTGATGAATATGCTATCTCTCCGCGCTTTTTGGCGATGAACGATGCCCTAAGGCTCGAGCTGCACAATCTTACACACTGTCTTTCCACGGGTTAAAGTTCCTACGCTGGAAAACAAGGTCTGTCAGTTGGGAGCGGGGCATTTGGGATAGAAGTAAAAACGGAAGAAAGGGAGAGGGGTGTGTTGCACCGAGGCCAGTGCGTGTAGTGAACGGTTACATACCTCCCCCCCCCCCCCCTACACCGACATGGGCCCGTGAAGAAACGTGTGGGTGCGCATCATTTCGCCGCGCTACAGTTCGTGTGTGTGTCGTTGATTTCGCTCATTTCCTCCGGCTAATGCGTCGCGTCACGTTCGTTGGAGGCCAATCCATTAGCGCGACGCGAGAATGCTTGTTCCTGCTGCTGGGTACACCAGGCAGCACTTTCAACTTCGCGAGCTCCTCGCACAGCGTTCTGCGTCGCTGGCGCTTCCTAGGGAGGTGGAAATGTCCCTACAGAATGTAGAGAGAGACAGAGAGAAACTACTCATGGCGATACTACATGGTAAGGTACGAGTCCGAGAGATGAAAGGAAAGAAAAAATGTATGCGTAGAAAAGGGTAGAAGGGGTACCTGCGCGCTCGGCCAAAGTTGCTCTCCAAAATGCGCTGCGTACGTATCAAGCATCGTGAAGCCATGCCTGCCTCGCCTGCTTGTCCCGACATGTCAGCCCATGTTTCGTAACGCCTGGATTTTTGAACTCCGTGCGCCGTTATTTACGAGCGACTCGTCAGAGTGCGTCGTTGAGTGTATTATATGCGTCCGTTTAGCAGAATGTAACCTATAGGGAGAGCTCATGCATTGCTTAACGAAGTCTTCGCGGTGCAACTCGGACCGAGAAAGAAAAAAAAATTGCCCGCAGCTTCCCTCGGGGGAACACTGAGGAGGATGCGGAGCATATAATTAGTTAACGGGGTGTTAAAGTGCGACTTACTTGGGTCGATGGCTAAATTGGTTAACGTGGTTGTGAAATGGGGTGTTAAATTGCGACTTACTTGGGTCGATGGCTAAATTGGTTAACGTGGTTGTAGGAGGGGGTGTTAAATGAGTGAACACGTACACACGTATGCGAAAGGGCGGCGCTGGTCGAAGGGACGTCGATCATTGTGTTTGTGGATTCGTTGGAATTCATTTCACCGCGACCTTGGACGTCGACGCGCCGTACAAACCAACCGACGAGCGGCAACTGAGCGAGCGAGCGCCGACCTTGAGTATATATACAGCGCGACGGCGCCTGCACTGTCAGCTGTTGAATGTTCTCGAAGCGCGACGCCACATGCGCGTCCACTGGAGAATCAGGAGAATTGTAGATGTCGAACGCGGTGTGTAGAGGAGGAAGGGTGCACAGATGGTGGAGGAGTGAAGCGCGCGCGGTGTGTAGAGGAGGAAGGGATGCACAGATGGTGGAAGAGTGGGCGACGGCGCGACGGCGCATGCGCGCGCGTCAGCTGTCGAATGTTCGAGAA